TTTATTTATTTATTTATTTATGGATATTTATTTCAAAATGAGAAATATTAAGATGGTTTCCCCTATCTCCATGAGTGTGGGAGAGTGAGTGTATATATTTATACACTATTTCCTTGATAGGAGGTAAACATCGCTCGTCTACCCTTCCTACCAGAGAGGATGGGTTCATGTGTCTCGTGTGTGGTAATACCACCTTGAGACCTCACCACACATTCGCTTGTGATAGTTGTGGGACCTCTCTGTGTGAGGACTTGACCTCTGAACATCTACAAACATGCTCCCGAGGTGAGTGAATAAACCCACCACCTTTATTTCTCTTAAGAAGCTTTTTGAGAACTTATGTCATGGGGTTTAGCGTGTGGGGTGAGGGTGTTGCCTATTATTATTATTATTATTATTATTATTATTATTATTATTATTATTATTATTATTATTTTCCAGGGGTGATTCAGAGGCAGGTAAAAACATCACAGGGTCAGGTAGGAGAGGAACATGACAAAGCACAGCGTGACAATAACCCCTTAGGTGGTGGTGGGGTTAGACAGTCCAATGCAAATGGAGGGGAGGGGGGAGGGGGATGAGGATGTGATGATGATGATGATGATGATGATGATGGTGGTGGTGGTGATAGTGGTGACATCTCTCAGGCAGGTCCTAGTGGTCTTAGACCTCATGTCAACAATCGAGATAATGACCTAATTAGTGATGAAAATTCCCCAGATGAGGAGGATGTTATAGACACTCCCCACTTAATTAATAGGGTGGGGGCCCTGGGGGATCTCTTTACTAGGATGGAATATTCCATCCCCTCAGCCTTCGCCACAGACCCTATAGGACTCCTAAGCAACTTTAGGGACTATTACATATCTGAAATAGAGAATTACATGAATTCTCTTGGGGGACATGGCAATTTTACTTCATCATTAAAAATCCTTCTCGAAGTGAAGGTAACACTTTTAAAACAACGACTCACAGAAGATGATGACTTTAGGGAACACTTCATAACGACACCTGCTAGACTGGTAACTCTTGAGGAGGTGGGTAATCTTATTGATAGCTGGGTGGGTTATATGATTACACGACTGGAGGATCTCCTTTCAGAAACAGAGGGGAGTGGTTTCATACTATATAATGTCGATTTCCTCAAAATCGTCATCTGTAATGCTAGTGTAAGGTCAGTTTTGGGGGATTATGTCCCTTATCCCCCCTTTCTAAGGGGACGATATGAGGTCTTCAACCCAAACCCTGCTGGTAACAATAGAACATGCATTATTCAATGCATTGCTGCTTTTCTGGCATCACAACAAGGGTGGAAGTGGAGACGTATAGGGAGACTTGTAGAGTCTCACTCTAGGGTTAGGAAAATGGTCAAATACGACCATTTATCCTTCCCTCTCTCGTGGGAGGATATCTCTAAATTGGAGAATAGAAATAAACTATCCATTTTTTTGTATTCAATACACAAACATACAGACGGTGTCTATCACGTCTCTCTTTGCCGTCGTGGTAGCAGACAGTACTCGGTCATAGTACCTTTATTGTTATTGGGAGAATCTCATGTGGCCCTTATTAAGGAGTTTGACAAGTTCCTACGGAACTTTACTCGCAGCCACAGACGAAAGACAGTCTTCTGTAGAAACTGTCTTTCAGAATATCAAAATTCAACAGAACTAACAAATCACATATCTTCCTGCGACATCACACAGAAAATTATTTATCCTCAGGAGGGGGACACACTCCATTTTAAAAATACGGGGAAAGGTTACCCCCCTTCCCATGTGGGGTATTTTGATTTTGAGTGTGTCCTAAGCACTGAGGATTGTCTAGGTTCTGTTACAGCCATACATAGGCCTATAGCATACAGCTATATAATTGTTGATAGGAACCACACTGTCATTGATAAATTTACTTATTTTGGGGGGGGGACAGTGTCACACATTTCATGCAGCGAGTTGCTACCAAATGGGAAATTATCAGATCCACACTCCCCCATTATGAAATAGACATGTCTCTTGAGGATATGGTTCATTTTAGGAGACAGACTCACTGTCAGTTTTGTGAGGAGGTATTTACCCCACCAATTTCAAGGTTCAACATCATGATCACCTTAGGGAAAAGCTCAATTATATTGGAGCTCTATGTAATTACTGCAACCTCCGCCACAAGAATGCTCTAGAGAGTTTAGTCCTAATTGCTCACAATATGTCTTATGACATGGGCTTAATTTTGAGGGAGTTTGCCATGGGTTCAAATATTAAGAGCAATATCCTCATGAGACAGGGGACGAAATATCTTAAGGTAGAAATAGGGAAGCTTAAATTTCTTGATTCACTGGCTTTTATTACAGGTAGTCTTTCATCCCTAGCAAAGACCCACATTGATTCAGCCAGCCCCTTAACATTCACTCACTCAATGATAGAAGGTTTGCCCAAAGAGAGTCACCACCTACTCTTAAAGGGTAAGCAGTTTTTCCCTTATGAATATACCACAAAAATCAGCTGCTTTAATGACACAACACTCCCTCCTATTGAAATGTTTTACAGCTCCCTAAACAAATCAGGTATAACTTTGGAAGAATATAGACATTCTAAATTAGTATGGGAGGCAACAGGGTGTAGGACATTAAAAGACTACCTCCTTATTTATTTGAAGTGTGACGTTGGTTTACTGGCTGACATTTTTACCCACCACAGGGTAATTCTAAATGATATCTATTCATTAGAAATGACCCATTACTGCAGCCTTCCGGGCTACTCCTACGACTGCTTCTTGAAAAGCAGCAAAATATCGTTGGAGTTAAGTGCAGATGTGACGTTACACAATCTCCTATCACAAAACATACGAGGGGGTTTTACAACTGCAGTTAGGAGTTACGCCAGAGCTAACAACCGCTATGTCAACCCATCTTTTAACCCCCAGGAGGATAGATCTTCATTCTTACTGTATTTAGATTTCAACTCACTTTATGGGAGTTGTATGACTAAGAAATTGCCCTATGGGGGACTAAGGAGACTATCATCTGATGAGATGAACTCCTTCATTAGTGAAGGGAAGATAATGACAGAACAGCCATTCTCTTCTAACAAAGGGTACTGGCTCTTAATTGACACCAAACACATAAGACCTGAAATAGCTAGACTAACAGATGATCTACCCCTTTGTTTACACCATAGGGGAATAAGTATGACGGATATCTCACCATTTAGTAGGGGACTTCTGGAAACAAATAACATTACAAATCTCCCTAAAAAAAATATTAAACTGGTTGGTGATCATCTCCCCAAAAAACATTATTTCATATCTCTACACCTTTTACAGTTATTTATTGAGATAGGACTTGAAGTAGAGACTATACATGCAATTTACGAGTTCCGCCAGTCAGATTTTATGGCAGAATTTGTTAACACAAACGTTAACAATAGAAATGCCTCCACCAGTAACGATAGGAAAACACTATTTAAATTATTAACAAATAGTGTTTTTGGTAAAACACTACTGAACCCAGCCCGTTATGCCATTGACACCAAACTAGTGACTTCAGCTAGGGTCTTTTTACGAGAGGTGAAGAATCCACGCTTTAAACGTATGGTGCATTTAGGTGACAATAAATTATTGTCTGTCAGTTCCAGACCATTCATTAAAATTACTCATCCTAATTACATTGGGTTCCAGATTCTTGAGCTAGCAAAATACAGTTTGTACCATTTTTGGTACAGGGTACTTAAGAAGCACTATACAGATAGGGTACAACTGCTGTATAGTGATACAGACAGCTTCATTTTTAGCTTACTAGCTGAAGATGTCTTTAACGAGATGGGGAAAGAACCCCTTAGCTCGTGGATGGATACTAGCAATTTTCCTGAAACTCACCCCTTGTATGATCCTTCTAAAAAGGGTGTTTTAGGACTTTTAAAGTCAGAGGTTTCAGACAGACACATCCTTGAAGTTGTGGCACTCAAGCCCAAAATGTATAGTGTGCTTTTGCTTGACAATTCAAATTCCATCACCGCTAAGGGTATTCCCCGCGCTGTGCAAAGATCTTTAACACATAACCACTTTAAAGAGACCCTACACAGTAATGGTGTAGTAAATACTTTCCATTATTCACAAATCAGGAACGTAGGGGGGCAGATGGCAACCACATTCAATACTAAGAGGGGTTTAAGCGCATTTGATGATAAGCGCTTTTACCTAAATAAATACACTAGCCTAGCATATGGACACCCAGACATACCACCGGATTCCCACCCCAACGCCTCAGCCCAAGGAATGTCCACCGAGAGTGAAGGTGGTGACGTCATTGAGCCACAAGGTGAGGAAGGACAACACCCCACCAGCGAGAGTGAACCCTATGACGTCAGTAGTCCCATACCTGAGGAAGAAGAGCCACTACACCCCATTCACTCTCTGGGTGATGATGAGTCATCATCTTCATCCCAGGGGGAGGAGGGGGAGGAAGACCCCACAACGGACCTGTGGGCACGGAGGAGGGTCCTTGTTAGGAAGTATTATGAAGGGGGGGATGACTTACATTATGAGTATGTTTAACCCCTATGTACTTTGTTAATATAATCTATAAAACATATGGGTTATTTCTTTTCACCTTCTTTTAAGTATATAACCTTAAAATATAACCACTTAAAAACAACTAGGGGGGTGGGCCCCTCTTACGGTACAGTCAAGGCCATCAAGTACGAGGAAGGGTGGTGAGGGGGAGGACCACCCCTACTGAGAGGATCCTGTTTTTTACACCTGTCCCATAGAGGAATGTGGGGGGCGTAACTGGCACTCACCTGTGTGTGTTTATTATACAAATAAATTCATTTTTTACTTAAATATACTGTCATACTTTACTGTATAAATGAACATGATCATAGCGGTACATAATAGATACCTATCTTCACTGTTTTTCGACTGCTACCACTCACACCTCGGATGACCTAATATGGAGTGGCTCTATGTGGCACTCCGCTTCTGATATTCTTATCTGATTGCCCTACATAGGTGGCTCAGGAGAGCCATGAGGTTGCCGGCGTAGCTCTGCGTCAGCACCAGCGTCACCATCATCCACACCAGCATCACTATCCGCTCCCACCACCAGTCGTCACCAACAGAGACTTCTGGTACATTCGCAAGATGATGCAAAACATAAATTTAAACACGGGATTTATCGTTCCCTTCCGCCTCAACATAGAAGTGTGCGCTCATATTTACTTTACAAGACGATTTTTTTTAATTGTAAAAGTAATTAGCCTCTTGATATCAGTGAAGAGGCTTGACTAATGTTAACAGTACAAAAATGTTAATATATATATTTATATATGTTCTTACCTTGTTGTAACAGAACGAGGGTGAAGCGAAAATAGTTTGTACACCACTTGCGCCAAATCCCTGTATAAGGGAAGCAGCAAGATGACAAGACGAAGACTATACCAGGCAGCATCAGCAGCGTCGTCAGGATGGCCGCCCACACCAGCGGTGACAGGGGGAACACGAAGCCCCACGGGTCCACCTCCGGTCGTCCTCGAGCTCCCATGATCCTCCACTCGTCAATCCTTATGGGCCATGAGAAATCGACCACCTTGCTTCTGTCTAGCGTGGTACCAAAAGGTCCAAGACCAATGTCTGCCTTCTGGATACATCCATAAGTAGCTGATTAGGCTGGGATTGGTTGGGTTGGGTCAGATTAAGTTAGGTTCGGTCAGGTTTCTTGAGATTAGGTTTGGTTGAGTAGGGTAAGTTTAAGTCTGATTATATTATTCTGGCTAAGGTTTCACAGGCATAAGCTGAGTTAGGCTACATGTGATAAGCATGGGATGTGTCTCATTATTTAACAGAGTTAGAAAGATATAAAATTTATTATTATGATCTTATTTACATCTTACGGTGATGAGACAGGGTCGGCTTAGCTACGTGAGATCAGCCCAAAATTTCATTAAGCTCAGTGTCAGATTCGCATCACACTCTGCCTATCATCTCCTGGCACGTTGACACTCCCTCATAATACATATCTCGATACCTGATTATGTAGATTTACAATAATGACATGTTGATATATAATAAGAGAAAAGTTTAAATGGTCTGTAAGACAAATCACTTAAGAACTCTATGACCCGATCAGAATTGAAGCCCCTGTCAGATCACTGGTGAAGGAATTGTTGTTTTAGATTTAGCTTCTCAGAACGAAATGTCCATGTAGCATGGGCTATAGTGAGCCCGTAAATCTGAACGGAGCTATCAGGGGTCCCCCTAAATAATCAGGTGTCACCAACTTATGGGCTTTCACCTCATCAGGGAGGTTATAAAATATACAAAACTAACTCTAGCTTTTCTTCACCACCACTAGCAACAGAGCACCAGCAGAGCACACACACTGAAGAGTCACCAGGTAATGAACCTAAATATGGATAAGGGGCTTAACATCATACAAATGGAGGATTTGGCTCAGAACTGACCCATCGTCATGTGTTCACACGCTAACTAAGCTTCAATGACTTACCCTCTTGTCTTAGGATGACCTCCTTCTGGTTCCCTTTTGTTTTTTTTATTCTGTAGTCCGGCCTACAATTATTTTTCTCTCTCTCTCCTCATAGTAACCCTTACAGGACCAGCGCAAACACAGTTGTGAGACAAACTTTTATTATAAACAATAAGAGAATACAAATAATAATATAATATTACCAGTTAATGGTTCTACAAAACAGCATCACACTTCCATGAGATCGGTATTCAATCTAATTTTCTCTGTTAGGCTGCTGCTTGTTCTTCTTCAGCAACCCATGGTGCTTCAGTCACCTCACTGTCTAGGGCTACGTTTTATACATGTGAATTAATACACCCCCAAAAATATCAATGCTCTCACCTTTTATTGCATCAGGCATACCACATGAATCCATCCATCCGTTAGGCATACTACATGAATCTATCCATCTTTCAGACATATATATTTTGATGCCCACCCAACCCTCTTTATCTTATCTGGAAGACCAGCTTCTCTTGTTAAACAACAAGGCTTCTCTATGGTGAGTGGTCTTCCGGAGAATCAATACTGGTGTAACACCATAAAGGTATTTAGTTTTATTTTACATATAACATGAGTCAGCCAGATTGAATATTTGAAGGCGCCAGATTGTCTGGCCCTAGCAATTAAGAAGTCACACCTAGAGATTTAATGGTCAGAGGTGGCCTTCAGGTCAGGTCGCATAAATTGACCTTGCTTTTTGCTAAGCTGATAACTGCAGACAGTTGGTGGCGTCGTTCCATCAGATCAGCTGCTATTTAGGCACGGTAGGTAGATGCTCTGAGGCTATAAACTTAGTAGGTAGAGCCTAGCTCCCGGTTCCCCATAAATATCAAGGGAACTGTACATTCGAGAGACTGCGCCGAGTTTATTGTGAAATTCCCTTGTGCGCATGAAATAAAGTGTTCCCAATAAATTCTTTTTTCTTGTAAAATGATAAATTCCCTTCCCTGAATATGTATATTATTGTGATTGGTGTTGTCGTTGTTCGTCCTTCCTTTGCGACAAACCAACCCAAAACCCGGAGAGTGCTTATTTTTACCAGGAAATCATTCTGGGCTCTTCTGGCACTTGGAGAGGGGCTCAACGTCACACGTTTAGGGGATGCGGCTCCAACACTAGCCTCGTTGTCACGTGCACACACCCACTAGAGCCGCTGTGACTCCCCACTCTCTCTTTATGTGGTATGATCTCCTCAATCCCCTTTGTTTTATTATTATTTTTCCGTTCTACCCTGTCCACAGTTGTGGTTCTTGGTTCTTTCTCTCTCTCTCTCTCTCTCTCTCTCTCTCTCTCTCTCTCTCTCTCTCTCTCTTACCTACTTCCTGGGAAGCCTCACTAGGACAAGGGCAAACACCAGCAAATTTGAATACATTTACTGGACAAAGCACATACACACATAATAATAATAATAATGAATCCTACACTCTATACTATTCCAGTCAGGTTGCACTCCAACACCATCAGAACTCTATCATCTGCTTATCAAGTGGTATCCAATCTCCTGATTCATCATTTAATACTACCAACCTCCTCAAGTAAGTCAAGTCTTATAACACAATGTTGCACTATCAGCAAGAGAATATATATATCTATAAACACATACAAGGAAAACCAGCATATGACTGCAATAACATAAATATTAGTAAAAATGTTCCTTGATATACAACAATGATCAATCGATCCCCTTATCAGTCCTAGAACTTATGTATGTCTCTGCAGGTAATCCAGCCTACGACTGTAACCCTATACTTCAGTATAAGTACTCCTCGGCACAAAAATGGCAAACAATCACTCACTTTTCACTGCTTCTTGCACGCTAATGACAACCAAACACTCTACCAACTCCCTACAAGTAATCAACTAGAACTTCCCGTCCACATCTGGAAGTTCACTATCCTGACATCTTCAGGTTCTTCCTGATTTATCTACCAGGATCCTCCGCAGCTCTTCCAGGCTGCTACACCATGACGTCTTCCTTGAACAACAAAGGTGCTTCGCCACTTCTACCAGGGTCCTCCACAGCTCTCCTGGCTGCTACACCATGAAGTCTTCCTTGACCAACAATGGTGCTTCCCCACTGGTATCACAAAAACATGTAAACTCTGCTCCACTGCTTCTCCTCTCACAGGTTGAGGTCCAACTCCTCACTATAGGGACTGCTCTTCCACAGAGCTCAGTACCTTCCACAACCTTGGAGTCTCATCAACTACTCCCTCTCTGCTGGCTTCGAAGTTCTCAGCAACTTCTTCCCCAGACAAACCTGCAACCCATTGACATGCCAATAGAAATGTTTCCCTCTAAACACATAAACGAAAATCTATCTGCTCTCTACATGCTGTGTGTGTGGACTTCCCCGTTTGGGCTGGTCTATCCACCGCCTGGAGCAGGTGGCTCCTCACTCCTGGAGCTGTCTTCCGCCGCCAGCCAGTCAGTTGGCTCCAGGCGGTCGACGGGAGAGGACATGCCGCTCGTCCCTCCAGCTGTCTCTCTCATCTCCGTCCTCTTATTTAGGTTTCCTGCCTTACCAAAACATGTCTAACGTATCAATAAACATTCACTACGATCGCTGGGCACACGATCAACTACCAGCAATCAGTAAACTGGCTAAATTTGGGCTTACCACAAAAATGTCTCCTGCAGGGCGCTCTCCCTCTGACGGAGTCTGACCAGGGCGCTCCCACGTGCCACGATTATGTCTCTGGGTGGCGTAACAAACTCTCCTTGCCGTCCAGGACTTGAGACCACACGATACCAAGCTCGATTCCACAGCTGGAATGTCTGCACACTTCCTTTCTCTTGAAGGCATATCACCTAGGGGTTCCTCTCTGACAGGAGCTTCCCCTCACGATGTCTGGTACTCAAGTGACTTAAGCTCCTCTCTAAGTGAGCCTCACACCTCCACCAAATTATCCACATCTCATAACCAGTCATTTCTCTATATCCTAATTCACTGCCCATATTCTTAAATTGTCTATCAAATTCAACCAATTATTTTACATCTGTATCTTCATGTCCACACTTCTGTGACCTCTTATTCAGGTCAGGTCTTGCTGAATAACTCTCAAGGTGGAGACCCGTTTTCCCTGCAGGCTGAGATCATAACAATATGTAAAAATAAATACCAAATACACTTACTTTGGCTGAGGGCACATGGACAAGGTGCGCTGTGGCATCATCAGGGCCTGGTCGCCTTTTCATGAATCGCCCAGACATGGTCGCCGGGCCATTCAAGCACCGGGTGTTGCCACAAATATATTTTCAATTATTTGTTCTATGTATTTCCAATGCGGTTTTATTTGTGTTTTTTTATCATATATGATGCATATTTATGTCGTTTACAATATGTAAACAGTAAAACGTTCATAAAGTTCCATGGAACTGTGATACATGTGTCATTAATGTCTCCACAATAAATGTTTATTGTCGCAATATTACTTGTTAAAAATTCCTAAAATTACAATATGTACAGTTTCACACACTATTTACACAGTAACACATTGTATTACACACTCAGTACTTCGGAAGTGAGTAATAATCAACGAAGTAGTCCATGGTGCACGGCGCGACTTCCCTCTCATTACATCAGGTACAGATAAATTTTCACTTCCTGTTTCTTCATTCTGAATGCTTGCAAATAACGTACTTACGTACACCCTTGGCTTTAGTACTTGTAGGTTGTATGTAGCCAAACTTGTAAAGCATAAGGTAGTATTGAAAAGATTATAGGAAAAGATCAATTTGTAAGGTAGTCTTGAAAAGATCGTTTTGTATGATCCCACACAGGAAGAGATTCAGCTAGCCTCAAAGAGTGTCCGTCAGTCAGGAAGAAATTCAGGTATTCTTGAAAATATCTATGGAAAACACCACTATGGACGCCGCTAACACTGTTCATCTATGCTACTTGTATTAGATGCATCATCACTGATCGCAGAAAACGATTCATCTATGTATCATCTATATAAATTGGAGATAGCATAGGATTGCAAGGGTGACGCTCAGAGCTACAACTGGATATGCTCTCTGTATCGTCTTCATAAGTGCTGTATCACTTGCATCCGACCTTTGTGTTAGGTCCTAGCTTAGGTGTATTGCGCCAAGCTT